GCCCAGGCGGGTCTTGAACCCGCGGGCTCAGGCAATCCATTCACCTCAGCCTCCCAAGGCAGGGGATTATAGGCTGAGCCACCGAGTCCGGCTGGTTTTTTCTTTTCTTTTCTTTTTCTCCCCTCTTTTAATTTTTTTATTTTAAAGATGTGGGGTACAGTTCAGGGTTAGGTATACAGATGTTCATTATTCAGTTTCCCTTGTTAATGAGATGTGTCCCCCTCCCCCAGCAGATTCCCACTACTGCCAATCCTACCTCCTCCCACACCCAGCAGTTTCCTGCTACTGCCAATCCTTTTCTTATAGTATTATGATAATTGTTCAAGGTCCGCTATGAGTGAGAACATGTGATACTCAGTTCTGTTTCTGTGATACATCACTCAGAATTATAAATTCTAAGTCCATCCAGGTGGCTGTGAAGCTCATTATTTTATTCTTTATGACTGAGTAATAGTCCATCATGTATATGTACCACATTTTCTTTTTTGGTTCTCTTTTGATGGACAGCACGGTTGGTTCCATGTTCTTGCTACTGTGAACAATGCTGCAATAAACATACGTGTGTAGGTATCTTTTTATAAACTGATTTGAGTTCTTCCAGTTACTGTTAATCCCAGTAAGGGGATTGCAGGGATGTATGTAAGGTCGATTTTTAGATCTTTTAGGAATTGACAAACTGTTTTCTACAGAGGTTGTACTAGTTTACACTCCCACCAATAGTGTAGAAGTGTTGCCTTTTCCCGCATCTTCTCCAGCATCAGTTGTTTTTTGAGTTATTGATGATGGATTCTGACTGAAGTTAAGTGGTATTTCAGTGTAATTTTAAATTGTATTTTGATGACTAGTGAGGCTGAGCATTTTTTCATGTATGTTTTGGTTGCTCATATGTCTTCTTTTGAGAAGTGTCTATTCACATCTTTTGCCCACTTTGTAATGGGGCTGTTTGCTTTTTTCTTTTCGGCACATTTGAGTTTCTTGTAGATTCTAGATGTTAGGCCTTTGTCAGACATACAGTTAGCAAATATTTTTTCCCAGTCTGTGGGCTATCTCCCTGCTCTCGTGATGGTTTCTTTGACTTTGCAGAAACTTGTCAGTTTGATGAGATCCTACTTGTCTATCTTATCTCTTATGGCATGGGCACTTGGGGTTCTGATCAGGAATTGGTTGCCAGTTCCAGTTTCCATAAGGGTGTCTCCTGCATTTTCTAAGGTTCTTATAGTTTGAGGTTTTACGTTTAGCACTTTGATCCATTTAGAGCTGATTTTTGTGTATGGTGATAGGTAGGGGTCTTGTTTTAATCTTCTGCATGTGGTCAGCCAGTTTTCCCAGCACTGTTTACTGAATAGGTTCTCCTCTCCCCAGCGGTTAGTGGTGGAGGCTTTGTCGAAGATGAATTGGTTGAGAAATTGAGGTTTTGCTTCTGGAATCTCTATCCTGTTCCATTGGTCTATATGCCTGTTCTTATCCCAATACCAGGCTATTTTGATTATTGTAGCTTTATAATAGAGTTTAAAGTCTAGGAGTGTGATACCTCCTGCTTTGTTTTTTGTTTGTTTGTTTTTTGGGTTTTTGTTGTTGTTGTTGTTGTTGTTTTAACTGAAGGATTGTTTCAGCTGTTTATGATCATTTATGTTTCCATATGAATTCCTGTACTGTCATTTCCAGGTCAGAGAAGAACACTTTTAATAATTTAATGGCTATTGAGTTAAACCTTTAGATTGCCTTGGGTAGGATGGGAATCCTAACAATGTTGATTCTTCCAGACCATGAGCATGGAATATTTTTCCATTTGTTTGTGTCATCTTTGATTTCTTTGAGCAGTGTTTTGTAGTTTTTGTTGTAAAGGTCTTTCACATTTCTGGTTAGGAACATGCCAAGGTATTTGATTTTTTGTGTGTGTGTGTGGCAATTGTGAATGGGATTATGCTTTTTGAGTTGGGTTTCTGTTTGCTTATTGTTGGTGTACAGAAATGCGACTGTCTTTTGCACATTTATTTTATACCCTGAGACTTTGCCAAAGTCCTTTATCAGTGCAAGGAGGTTCTTGACAGATTCTCCTGGGTTTTCGAGGTATAGAATCATGTTGTCTGCAAAGAGGGATAACTTGACTTCCTCTTTTCCTATTTGGATACCCGTGATGGTCCTCCAGCTAGAGTGACCAAGAAAAAGAGAGAAAAAGCCCAAATAAACACAATCAGAAATGCAAAAGATGAAGTCACAACTGAACCTGAAGAAATACAAAAGATTATCAGAGACTACTATGTACACTTGTATGGAAACAAACTTGAAAACCTAAAGGAAATGGAGAACTTCCTGACATCACACAACCTCCCCAGGTTGAAACAAGAAGAAATTGAGACCCTGAATAGACCAATAACAATCCAGGAAGTTGGCTATGTCATAAGGAAACTACCTACAAAAAAAAAATCCCTGAACCAGATGACTTTCTGGTGGAATTCTACAAAGCATACAGGAAGGAACTGATACTGATCCTATTGAAAGTATTCCAGGCAATTGAGAAAGACGAAACTCTTCCCAAATCTTTTTTATGAAGCTAATATCACATTGATACCCAAACCAGGTAAAGATCCAACAAAGAAAGAGAACTGCAGGTCAATATCCTTGATGAACATAGATGCTAAAATTCTCAACAAGATCCTAGCAAACTGGATTCAACAATACATCTCAAAAATCATCCACCATGACCATGTAGGCTTCATCTCCAGGATGCAGGACTGGTTCAACATTCTTAAGACCATAAATGTAATTAAATATATCAACAGACAAGGATGCCCACTCTCACCCCTCCTTTTCAGTATAGTTTTGGAAGTCCTAGCTTGCTAGTGTGGTGATTTTTAATAAGGAGACATACCTATCCCAATCCTTGTTTTCCTGGAGTATATCAAAAATTTCCTAGTAGAGTTTCTACCTAGTTTGATACAGACGTCCCAGAAAATTCAAATACGCCCTGTTTGGTGATGTATTACCTAGATGTTGGGTGATAAATTCATTCTGGAGACTGGCATGGAGTTGCCAACTTCTCCTTTTCCCAGGTGAGGTCACTTCCATTTGTCACGACCTTCAACACAGAAAAGACATTTTCACACCAAAAAAGGAAGGGCATGAATCTCTGAATGAAAGGTGGTCTTTCCCACAAGAGGATGGTTGACAGCCTCACATGTGGTGTGAAAATGCACCCTTACAACATTACTGTATTTTCTAAGATTCCTCATGGCTTTTGGGACCCACTGCCATAGGCAACGGGAAGTCATCAAAGATTTCTGATGTTACTGTTTTTAGTTGTGTGTGCATAAACTAAAGACTATTTTCCTTCCATAGATCTTCCATACTGAAACTTTAACATGTCACTTTATTTTCTTAGAGTCAGTACTTAAGAATACAAGAAAGTAAAATGTGTAGAACAGGGGTATAAATATTGCCACAATCATATTTTTCTGATTCTTTAATTGATTTTTCCTAATGGTGGGCTTGACTTTCTAAAGCAGTTTTTCTAAATGAAATGTCATTTACATCTCTGCTTCTACTTTTTTGTTTAGAAGCTTTATTTTCTCTTGGTCCAGAAGAGCTTGGTTTTTTCGAAGATAAGGATAAACCTGATGCAAAGGTATTAAATCTGATTTACTGGGGTGTTTTGGAATATTTAGGAAATGTTTTTAAGGGAAGAAATTAAGTTATTTATTCATGTAAGAATATTTTTATTAATTACTAAATATGATCTTTATTTTCATAAAATTACTTGGCCTATAACCTATTGGTAATAGAAGTTTCCTTTCAAAAAGAATTACTTGTTCAAATATAATGCTCCTACTGCTTTATGAACATACATCACTCTCTACTGTTGTATTTTTTTCTTCTGGTGAAGGAGATATTTGCAAAACATCCACACTAGCCTACCAAAAATTCTATTTAAAACATATATTTGTAACAATACCAAAAAAGAGAAAGAGACCTGTTTGAAATTATCATTCAATTAGATAATTTTCATATCATCTTTCTAAATTCTGGAAATTCTAAATTCTAAAGACCCAAGTATTTTAGGTAAAGGATTGAGTATAAGTAACAGAAACCCACTCAAATTAGCTGAATTTAAAATGGGGATTATTGTAAAAATATAAGGTAATCTCCCAGAAACCAACTACAAGAAGCCAGCCTGACCTCTTTGGAAATAAATTGAATAAGTAATTGATTTATTACATTTGTATGTTACTGTGGTGATGTTTTACTTTAAGTGTAGATCTAATTATGTTCTTCCCTACTTAAATATAATTCGAAAGTTTTTTATCACTCAAATCTGTACTTATTAGGTATCTTTCATAATCTAACCCAGTGCTAAGACACCATTGTGGCTAAGAACCAGTTTTTTGTATTTTTAAAGTTCTCAATCTGTTGCAGATTGATATTTTTGTAGTATATAATAAAAACAAAATTGCTTTATTGAGATATAATTCACATGCCATAAGATTCACTCTTTGAAAGGGTACAACTCAGTAGATTTTTTAGTATAGTGAAAGAGTTGTACTACAATCAGTTGTATATAGTGGGAATGTCAAATTGTCATACAAATTTTAAGTGCTTATTCTCCCTTTCAGTCATTAAAGTCCAGCCTTCAGACTAGACTCTGAGTGACGTTGCTAAGTCTGCCCTGGCCCTCACCATATTAAGTAAGGCAGGAATGGGCTTGGAGCCAGGAGAAAGTGAGGCACAGTGCTACTGAAGTGTCAGAACTCCAGAGTGAGTTACAATATGTGTGCATGGAAAAGTTCTACAGAGGGAATATATGTGTATCTGAGCCATTGTAGAGAAAGAATGGACTATTAAAGATTCAGAATGCTGTTAGTCTGTAATCAATTGGGTGGTATATTAGGGCTTCTGAGTTTTAATATTTATCTGAACTATTCAAGTTAGAAAACTCCAGGTAACTAAAGCTTTTTGGATTAAATTAGAATTTTCAAATTACTGAATCATAATTAGTTCTCCCTTTATAATAAGATATTGGTAAACTTTCTCCAGCGTGAACTAGGAAATATGAGAAAATGAATATGCAGTTGTTTTCAAAAGTCTCACCACTTAAAAGAGTTCATGTAGAAATGCGTTTTTTTCTCATCCAGGTTCGAATCATACCTTTACAGTTACAGCGCTTGTTTGCTCAGCTTCTGCTGTTAGACCAGGAAGCTGCGTCCACAACAGACCTCACTGACAGCTTTGGGTGGACCAGCAATGAGGTATGAAGGTCACCTTCTCTAAGGAAAAGTTAACAGCAATTAAGGAAAAAGTGAATGTTTCCTTTAAGTTTGTCTTCGAGTCTCAACATATGATTTGAATGCTTCCTTCTCACGTTAAAAAAAAAATTACAAACCCGAAATACATTTTTAGGCACTTGCTGTATATAGGATTTTTATGAAAGGCAGTGATTTATAGTTAGAGAAAAGGTTTTGAATTTAGAGAGAGTTACAAGAGCTGATTTTTACAATTTCTACACTAAGAATCTTTATGTAGTCTAGTTGAGATACAACACCTATGACATAGAAATTATTTACCATTTATATAGCAAAATGCTGATCAAGTTTTTAGTCTTTAAACAAAGACTATTGCTAAACTACAATAATGTATAAGTTAAATGGTAAGTGAATTTTAAAAATTCTATCTGCCTTTGTGATGTGCTTTGTGTTTGAATCTGGGTGTTCTGACTTGAATGTTAGTTTCAATCAAAACAGTGAAATTGTTCTTGGAAGATCTTTTTATTTTCCCTGTCCTGGCTTTCTCCTGTCTTCACTTTCTTCCTGTATCCTGTTTCATATGGGCTTTCTCTCACTTTCCTGTTTGAGTTCCTAAAAGGTATTCCACTATATAGAAACACTACACACTTGTCAGCAATGAGTGAAGGTTCTTATTGTCAACATTGATGAACTATTAGTTATATAAATCAAATCCATGTCCAACATTTTTTTATGGAATAGATGTCGTCCTAAAGACAGATATGGGTGACTATCACAGAATTTAAAGAAGCAATGATGGGAATAATGTTATATTGCCTTTAATAATAATCTCTGAGCAGTGGTCTTCTAACCTGGAGCACTCCTTAACTAGGTGATACTATGTGATTAAAGACTTTGACATAAAACTGGCTAATAATACATTCCCTAAACAGATGTGTTAAATCTCTGATGTAGGGCTGGTATTTAGGGTTAATTCCTTTTCCCTTCCCTTAAAAAACAAAAAACATGCTTTATTGAGATATAATTCACATGCCATAAAATTCACTCTTTATAAAGGGTACAACTCAGTAGGTTTGTTTTTTTTTGTTTTTTTTTTTAGTATATTCACAGCATTGTACAACAATCAGTTTTAAAACATTTTTACCCCCCAAAAGAAGCCCCATACCTATTAGTAGTCACTCTCCATCCCCCTCTACCCAATCCCTGGCAACCACTGACCTCTTTTTTGTCCCTATGGATTTGCCTATTCTGGACATTTCATAGGAATGGAGCCATAAAATATTGATCTTTTGCAATTCACTTAAAATAATGTTTTTAAGGTTCATTCATATTGTAGTATATGTTGGTATTTCATTCCTTTTTATTGCCAAGTAAGATTGTATTAGATGAATATGCCACTTTTTTTTCTTAGTCATCAAGTTGATAAGTTTTTCTTTGTTTTTGATAATGAGTTGCCACAAGTTGCTGGTTTCAAACTTCTTAAAGCTGTAAAAATCTTTTTTATTTTATTTTTCCTAAGTAAAATATTGCAGGAAACCCTCTAGGACTGCACCTGCAATGGTAGGATAACATTGCAGGTGCAGTCCTGGATAGGATTGTTCAGAAACAGAACTTGAACATTTCCACACATTTTCTGTCCCATCAGCGCTGGTGATATCGAATAAACTTACATCCTCTGGTGTCTTATATTTCAAAAGATAGGATAGAGCTCCTGAGTCCCATTTCTTGCTCCAGCTTTCATCTGCTGCTCTTCACGTGAACCACTCCCCCTACTCCTTTTTTTTTTTCCAAGAGACAAGGTCTCACTCTGTTACCCAGGCTGGAGTGCAGTGGCATCACCATAGCTCATGGACTCCTGGGTTCAAGCAGTCCTCCTACCTCAACCTCCCAAGTAGCTAGGACTACAGGCGCAAGCTCCCACTCCCAGTCTAAACTTATTTTAAAATTGTCTTTCCTCACTGCCTCCACTTAGGCACCCTCTGCTGGTTCCTCTGCCTTTTTTCTGCTTTTCTTGTTGAAGTCAACAGTGACACTCCTGTGCCAGATCCACAAGACGTTTCTTTGTTCTCAGCTAAAGATGCTCTTGGTAGCACTTACCTCTTTCTTTAAAGCCCCAGTTCTTCCTGCTTCCAGGGAGCTCATTCCTCTGGCTGTCTTTTCAGGCTACTCTCTTCCTCCTCTTCGCCACGTCTATATGTTGGTATGCTCCTTGGCTTTGGTTCATGAATTGTTCTTAAGAAGAAGTTCATACATAACTTCATGACTCCTAACAGATTAAAACAGGTTCTACTAGGAATTTTTCTCAGTGCTATGTTAGTCTTGTTTTAGTGGTTTATACTTCAAAGTAAATACATTCTAGTTCTTTTCTATTGATACTTCAGACTGTTCACCAAGTTCTCTAATCTAAGTGAGATTTTCTTGTGCAGACACTGACAGCTTTTGGACACTGATCTGTGCCTGTTGTGTTACCCCTGTGTATAGTTTCCCACAGCAATAAACACACTTGCTGATTGTTAGGGGAGTTGAGTTATATGTACACACTGAACACTTCATATTTTTATTTTGTAGTATAAAAGTGGGTGGTGATCTCTTAACCAGCTCTTAGCTTGTTTTGCTGACTCATTTTTATATCTGATAAGGAGTATCTTTGTGTTTTTGTTAACTAGTATTATTTTTTACAAATCTGAAGCACACAGTTGCATGTAAAGTTATCTGTTTTATAGGAAATGAGGCAACATGATGTGCAGGAACTGAATCGAATTCTCTTCAGTGCTTTGGAAACTTCTTTAGTTGGGACCTCTGGTCATGACCTCATCAATCGTCTGTATCATGGAACCATTGTTAACCAGATTGTTTGTAAAGAATGTAAGAACATCAGTGAGAAGCTGGTAAATATGCCAGAGTACTTTAGTAATAAGTTATACTGCAAATTATAACCTAATTGAAACTATGATCTGTAATACCACATGAGAATTGAAGTGTTTATTACTAGAAGTAATTTACTGAGGTTTTTTCTTTTACTCTAACTACACCTAAGTCATGAGTTTATAATCCAGATTTCTCTATGTAAACTGAAAGAAGCAAATCAATATTTTACTCAATACTCAAATATTTGGGGATGTTTACAAATAGAAGTCTGAGTCTCATGAGAAAAACCAATGTCATCATGATAAGAATGTTGTAAAGAAAGTTAATTAAGGAGGTAATAAAAATAGAGAATACTGAGGTATATTTAAATTGAAAAACATCTATAATTAAATATTGGATTTAATTTATTAATATTTTTCAAAAAAGTTTATATGTGTATGCTTATGTTTACTTATTATATATAAAGCTATTATAATCCTGTTTTAATTAGTATGACCTTCAGTTCTTTTTAATGACAGAGATTGCCCATTTAATCTCATTAGAAATTTGCTCATGTAAATATAAGAATCTCTGTTTGCCCTGTTAATCTTATAGAGCCAATTATTTCATCACTGAATCATAAATTTTTTTTAAAAATCTCCTTTTGTTGAGGCAAGAGTTGTAGAAAGTTTCTGTATTTGGCTGTGTGAGTACAAAATTAAATACCATTTTCTAAATCATTAATTTTTTTTTTGGAAATACATTTTTTTTTTTACTATTTTAAAAAAGAGTTGGGGTTAAAAAAAATACTTCTTGGCCCTATTGCCTGTGCTAATAGATGCTTTCTTGGTTAGCCTAGTTTGGAAATAATTAAGATGTTATGTGTGTCTTTGAATTACTTTATGATTGACTTAGCTATGATGTAATAATTCACAAAGTAATTTCAAAACAATGTGCATGAGGCACATAATAAATTAAAGAAATTAACTTTTCACATATATGTTGTAAGCCATATACTGTATAAATGTTACTTTTAATACTTAAGATGAACTAATGAGTGCTCCCCTAACAACTACATATAACTCAGTTCCCATAATCCTATAAAATAATGCTGTTGCACACACACACAACTATAAGTAAGAATTATAAATTATTATAAGTTAAACTTACCAAATTGTAATAGCATTTATTACCTGAAATATTATAATTCAAATATAGTTATAGTAGAATTGATAGACTCTATTTTTACAAAATATTCTTCTCTTAATTTTCTTGGAAATACCTTCTTATCCTGGCTGAAGATTATTTTTTCTTATAATTTCTTCAATATATCTTAGACCCAACTCTAGCAAAAGAAGATGAAAAAAATGAAGTCTACATTTGAAAATGTAACCCTGGCCAGGCTCGGTGGCTCAGTGTAATCCCAGTACTTTGGGAGGTCAAGGCAAGTGGATTTCCTGAGCCCATGAGTTTGAGACCAGTCCAACCAACTTGGCGACAACAAATTTTAAAAAAAACTAACTCGTTTCTACAATAAATTAAAAAAACTATCTGGGTGTGGTAGTGTGTGCCTATAGTTCCGGCTACTTGGATGGCTGAGGCGGAAGGATGGCTGGAGCCCAGTAGGTCGACGCTGGGGTGGCCATGAGTGTGTCAGTGAACTCCAGCCTTGGCAACAGAGTGAGACTCCTACTCAAAAAAAAGAAAAGAAAAGAAAATGTAACCCTGCCATTGCTGTTATATTCTAGTCTAGAGAATAAAACAATACTATAAGCCTTGTATGTATACTTCTAGATTTAGATATGTGTTTTATTGTGGTTTATATTTCCTCATAAAACAGATTGTATTGTATCTGCAGTAAACTCATAAGCTTCTTCCTTTATAATCTTTTTTCTGATACAGTTTAAGCTAAATTATAGTTTGACTTAGAAAGGATAATTTAGTGTTAATGAACTTCACAATATCTAATCAGGAGAGCTACGTCTTCATATGTACAGTGTTTTAGGAAAAATATGGCTGATTATTCCCAATATATGTTTGAGTTGGTGATGTGCTTGTAAACCTCTATGAAATTATTTATATTTTCAATATTATATTCATGTCTATTTCAGGAAGACTTCTTAGATCTAACAGTAGCAGTAAAAAATGTAACTGGTTTAGAAGATGCTCTCTGGAACATGTATGTAGAAGAGGAAGTTTTTGACTATGACAACTTGTACCACTGTGGAACTTGTGACAGGCTGGTGAAAGCAGCAAAGGTAAAGATAGATATCTGCCTTTTCCCAGAGTTCTAACTTAACACTTGGCACCTCATAGCAGGAACTTTGTCAGCTGAAGTCATCTTGTATGAAAAAGTCCGGAGGATATACTGGAAGCTCTTAACACTTAAGATTGAAAAGACATTTACATTGTTATCTGTATTTTCATTTTTACAGTAAAGGATTTTTTAAAGCTTTCAACTTAACAGTTCATTCAACCTCCTTTTCTCAGAATGTATCTCAGCATTTCTTAATTATTCCTGCTTTTTGCAAATTACTGTTATGAAAAGAACAGTATATATTTTTATCCCTGCCAGTTGAGAAGCTTGTTGAGCTTTTCTTTTCTGATTTACTACCATGAAAATGCATGACTTTCTTCATTTTCTTAATATGCAACTATTTTATAATCGTTATTATGCCCTCCTTACTCTGGTAAATTGGATGTGCCCTTTCCTCCTCCCTAGGTGGGAATACTTAACTTGCTAATTAAGGAACTTAACAGAATACTTCTGGTTTTCTTTCTGTACTGTAAAGCAAATTATAAGATAAAAGTGAGACAAGATTTAAGCAACTGATTTCTTTTGCCACGTGAGAGCTAAGAGAGAAAAGTAAAACAAATCAGTAAACGTAGAATTCTGATATTTCTCAATTTATTCATCACATTAATACATCAATAGCCATTCCTGTAGATACAGTTCATAGTTATTTTAAATTCCAGAAAAGAAGAGAAACTTTGACCAGAAGAGAAATGAGAGACAACTATACCCTTTAGCTTAATAGAACACCCCCAGTGTTATTTTCATGCATCATAAGTTTTACACATTCCAGCTTCTTTATGATTTATTATATCAGCACTTTGGCATTTCTGAAAATCAGCCATATATTGGTGTTTTACCCAGTTTTGATGTAAAGTCTCTGTTCTTTATAGTCTAGTCCTTTGGATCTAGGATCATATCTATTTGTTCTAAGGGAGTCTGGCATCTGAATAACTCTCTTCAGAGGATAGATTATAGAAAAATATTTTGTAGAATTTTTTTTGCTTTATCTTCTAGCAACCATTTATATTTTCTTTTCCCCATTCTTTCACAACAAATTGTGATTTATTAGTATGGAATTGTTCTTTAGCATATTTTTCACATAGTTAATTTCCACCAAAAGTATTAACAATGATAATTAATTACTAAAATCCTGTAATGCATTAATATTACTATAAAATGGCTATTACAGAAAATTTATAAGTGTTTATTTATGTATATATGTTATTAGTGCCATTTCTCATTCCTCTGGCTTGGTTGTGTTATCTCTAACCCACTCTAAATTTCCTTCTCAGCTCCTTGTATCTAAGGCCAGTAGAGCATCAACCCTACTGCTGTCATATTTTTTTTTCTTTTTAGTTGGGGTCTCACTGTGTCACCCAGACTGGAGTGCAGTAGCACGATCACAGCTCACCACAACCTCAACTTCCTGGGCTCAGGCTATCCTTCCACCTCAGCCTCTCAATAGCAGGGACTACAGGCATATGCCACTGAGCCTGACCAATTTTTTTTTTTCATTTTTTTGTTAAAAGATGAGGTCTCACTATGTTACCGAGGCTGGTCTCAAACTCTTGGGCTCAAGCAGTCCTCCTGCCTTGGCCTCCCAAAGTGGCAGGATTATAGGCATGAGCCAGGGTACCTAGCCAATAGATCTTAACCTTTGGGGAGTTACAGTTCTTTTGCAAGTCTCATGAAGGCTATAGATCTTCTCTTCAGAAAAATACATATGCACACAAAATTTTTATATTATTTCTTGGGTTCAGATCCTTTGAAACAGGTTTCTAGGTCCCAGGTTAAAAGCTTCAGTTTTTCCCCGAATAAAAAGAACTGTGTGTCTGCTAGGTAAAGTGGAGACACCAAAGGATAAGATGAAAAGCCAGGAATTGGGCAGAAAATAAGCATCGTTAGAGAGGGCACATGCTCATGAAATAGTATTTTAGGATATCAATGAGAGAAACAGAAAACCGTCTTGTAAATTTTTAGTTGTAAGCATAAATGAGTGATGCCACCTTTGGACCCATAAAATAGTTGAGTTTATAGTAAGAGCTAGGTTGAATTCATGGTAGTGAGTTTATGTAATCTAAGGACATATTTCTCTTAGAACTGTGTCATAGGTTGCTTTTTTATACCTTAAGAAACATTATTTACTCTTTTATATCACTCCGTTTTTAAAAACTTTATAAATTTTTCTTTTAACAGTCGGCCAAATTACGTAAGCTGCCTCCCTTTCTTACTGTTTCATTACTAAGATTTAATTTTGATTTTGTGAAATGTGAACGCTACAAGGAAACTAGCTGTTACACGTTCCCTCTCCGGATCAATCTCAAGCCTTTTTGTGAACAGGTTTGAACCATTCTATTTTGAAATTCTTTCTTTTCCCTCTCAAGATTGAATCTTTTACTTACATTTATTTATTTTCAGTTGGTTTATTACAGAATCTTTCAATCTTGGCACTATTAACATTTCAAGTCAAATTACTCTTTGTTGTAGGAGGCTGTCCTATACATTGTAGGGTGTCTAGCAGCATCACAAATCATTCTTGTGTGTTTATTAAGAGCACTTATTAGCTAGCTATTGAATTTATATGTAAAAATGTAATCTTTTTACAAATGTTCTTATATTCAAGCTCTTCACACATGGGCCTTCCTCTACTTCAAGCCTAATTATGGAGCTTTGGAGTTTTTTTTTTTAATTGTTGGAATTACCATGCAAAGATTCTAATGTTCTATTGGCGCTGATCCTGTTATTGGCATGCCCAGAATAAATAATTTTCCCAGAGTTAGTTAATATGCTAGCCTCACCTTTTATAAAAAGTTTGTCACATGATTTTAACATGCTTCAATAGAAAAAAACTGAAATAAGTAAAGACATTAAGCACTTATTTAGGAAGTGCACATTAATGAAAAAAATGTCACTTTGCTTGTTTGTGTACACCTCTTGTCTTTTGTCTGAATCAGACATTTTAAAATGCTGCCACATAAAAAGTATAACATTTAAAGCAAAGAAATTCTTCAAATAACTGGCACTCTTCAAGTGGCATCCATGTGTACATTTTAACATCACAGATGAACACTGAGTTTAGACATCAAAGCCAGAAGGGAGCTTATAATATGTAGTTCAGACCCCTCAAATGTGAAAACTAAGGTTTTTTTGTTCTTCTGCACCAGAATTTTAAATAAACATCTTAAAAGTATATCTTAATCTAAAGTAGTTGCTTTGTTTTCTTTTTAATTACTACAGTGAGAGTTTATCTGTAGGGTCACTCATTTTAGAGCATATTAATTATAGAAAATGTCGACCATAGAATTCATAAAACAAGATAGAACCTCTTCACTCCACTAAATGGCCGCTAAATGAGATCAGCTGGTAGTCATAATTGCTAGGTTTCTGTACTGTGCAGAGGATTGAAGTTTCAGGAGGGGTGCTAGATAGTTGACCTGGCTTTGACTTTGAGGCACATGACAACCTAACTGGAATAGAGGACAATTTCAACTAAATATTATGTATCAATAAAAAAATAAATAAATGGATAAGAAAAGAGCACATGTGTAAAGCAGAATAATAGATATGATACAAAGATGGATTTCTCTTGCCAAAAATTTCTACAGCAGACTCACTGATAGGGTGACATGTTTCATTGGCTTACATAATCTTGGCCAAATTTACATAAAAATATATTTTTCAAGTGTATGTGTTCATGTTTAACTAAGAGGTAGAATTTGATTGGTGTAGTGTGATTGGTATTAGATCAATGAATTAAAAATTTTAAAATTTAAATCCATTGCTTAATTCATCTATGCTCTTAAATAACAATGATAAACAGTGAAGTGTCATATTAATTTGAGTAATTGAAATTCTTTTTTTCTCTTTATTAGCTTGCCATTTTATGTAAACTACATCAATATTTATGTTCTTTTTTCTTTTAGAGTGAATTGGGTGACTTAGACTATATATATGACCTCTTCTCAGTTATTATACACAAAGGTGGCTGCTATGGAGGACATTATCATGTATATATTAAAGATGTTGATCATTTGGGAAACTGGCAAATTCAAGTAGGTATAGAAACTCATTTAGAAATAGCTTTACAATTTCTTTGCTTTTCTAGTCCTATTATTTTGTTGAGGATAATCTTTTGCCATTGATTATGTATCTACTCTGTAGAAAACTTTGACAGGCACTGAAAGTTAATACAGATATAAGTTTTGAATTTTTATTTCTAAATAGTTTCATATGTACAGAAAAATTACCAGAATAGTAAAAACACCTTCCTTTACCTAGATTCACCCCCTCTTTGCCTAGATTCACCAATTGTTAACATTTTGCCACATTTGTGCATAAGCGTGTACAGACCACATACTATTAAAATTATCATTATTAGTGCTGAACCATTTAAAATTAAGTTGTGGACATCAACCCTCTTTACCTCTAAATACTTCAGTGTTTATCTTCTAAAAAGAAGGATATTCTTCTACATAAGCATTGATCAAAATCAGGAACTTCTAACACTGATATAATTCTATCATCTAATATTTAGTCTACCAGTCATCCCATTCACATTCTTTATGGCAATTTTTTGTCTATTCCAGTGTCAAGTGCATCATCATACATTATATTTAGCTAGTTGTCTCTCAAGTCTTTAATCTGGAACCATTTCTCAGTTTTTCAGTTACTCCATTGTGTCAAAGAGATAGCACTATTTTTATAGCTAGCAATTACTGAATTTTTTCTGACAAATAAAATGAATATTGACTTAGAAACACACAATGTTGATTTTGTATCCTGCTGATGATTGTACGTTAAAATGTGATTAAAAACTATGTCTATAGCTTTCACAATAGGATTTAAAACAGGGTGATTTTTGTCCTTTTTAATATAGTATGACTGCAAAGTCATGTCCTTTGTAGTTGCTTTTTGAAACTGTGCTCAATGATCACTGACCTGAATTAAAGTTAAAACTTCAACCTTCCTAGAGTGATTTCCTGTGAATGGTATGAGATTTTTTTTCTACTTGGAAAAATTGTCCATTCCCATTTATTGGATAATCTATTTTTCTCATCAATCTACTACAACAGTTCTGTTTATAACTACTGTTTAGTTTTGTGTAAGTCTATTCTTCAGTTCTTTATTCTATTCCATTGTTTTTTTTTCTCTACTCCTGGACAAATACTACATTGTTAATTTCCATAGTTTAATAGTAAGTTGTGATATCTGGTAGGGCAAGTCTCCTTACATGGTGTTATTCTTCAGGAAGGTCAGGCTTGTCTTGGGTTTTTAGGCTTCTATACACATTTCTAGAATCACCTTGTGATTATTCTCACACATATGCATGTATGTGCACACACACATATACATATACACACACAATGAGATTTTGCATTTTTGTATGTAAACAAGATATATCTTTCCATTTTTTAAAGCCCCTTTAATGTCTTATTTTAAAGTTTTATAATTTTCTCAAAAAGAACTTGCAGATGTTCTAATGGAAAGCACTAACTAGAGTCTAGTTCCTATGAAATTATAATGGATTCCATATCAATCCTGAACTCTCAATCAGTTTTCCAAAATGAAACTAAAACACACAAAATGTCTAGATAAGTCATAAGCCATCACATTAGGAAGTACTAAAATGCTTAAAGTGAGGTTATCAAATAATGTTATTGACGAATAGTTGCTCTATATGTAATAATATGGCTTCTCATGTTGCCAGTAGTATCCAAGATGCACACTCCCTTTGTTAACACTCAGCATGCTTTTCAAAACATTTATTTCTGACATTCTATCAGTTATATTCATATTGAGAGCTACATGTTCTGTTAAGTTTGGATTTAAAGAAAATCAAACTGTTCTACCAGGAAAATATTTATCAGGGACATAATCTATACCTGTATTTTGAATATTTTAGACTGTTTGTAGTTGGTATATTGAAATGTAGTTTTGTTTAGAATATTGATTTTATATACTAAATTATATAAATGTATTTTTTATACTTCATATATGTAAAATATTTTAGTATATAAGTTAAAGCATTTATATACTAACAATCAATAAACTTGCTAAACTCGTATGTTAAAGGCATCTGTGGAAATAGACAGTTTTGTTTCATCCTTCCCAATTTTTTTTTTTTTGAGTTGGAGTCTCATTCTGTTGCCCAGGCTGGAGTACAGTGGCACACTCATGGCTACCCCAGCGTCGACCTGCTGGGCTCTGGCGATTCTTCCACCTCAGCTTTCCAAGTAGCCAGAACTATAGGCACACGCTACCACATCGGCTAATTTTTTATTTACTGTAGAGATGAAGTCTCGCCAAGTTGCCCAGGCTGGTCTTGAACCCACGGGGTCAGGCAATCCACTCACCTCGTCCTCCCAAAGTGCTGGGATTGCAGGCTGAGCCACTGAGCCCAGCCTCCCAATTCTTTGCCTTCCATTTCTTTTACTTATCTTACTGCAGTGGCTAGAACTCCAGTTCTGGGTTGGGAATGCCATACAAGCATCATTCTCAAATGTTTGTGCCACATTTGCCAAGACACTGGCTTGCCAGGCACCTTTCTGGTCAGATGAAGTCAAGCACTTCTTATCCTCATCTGGTCTGTTTCAGCCCTCAGTGTTTTCATGTTTGAGTTGATACTTACCATGTTACCTTCCCTCCAACTGCTTTCTTGCATTTTCAATTTTTGGTGGTAGAGAATCTTTATTCTCTAGAGTGGCCATTCTCACTTCCCCTTATCCCTCCTGTCCCTCACTTTTCAAACAGTAACATTAGCTTAATCTCATTCTCTCTTTAAGATGAAGTTGAAGCTTTTCATTAGATTCTGATAGAAGCTTGTCATCAGGACAGATAAATGTTTATTATGTTATTGTTTTTTGCCTTGCCCATTTCCACCGTGTCTCTTGGCTCTTTTCTTCTAGTTATGCTTCCATCTGTTGTGGCCATTTTTCAGTCCTGTCAAGTTACTCTTTAGTCTTAGAAAGTGCTCCCAGCCTCAGTGCCAGCACAACTTTCACCTCAGAGAGTGTGTCCCTGCATTCCTGGCCAGCTTTTGCTTGGCCAGCTTCAGACCTTCTGCACTCTGAACCCTTCTGGATCTTGCCCTATATATCTCTTTATCTGGCCGATTATTTGTATTCTTTGTAATAAGCTGTAGCATAAGTTACTGAGTCCTGTGAGTTGTTCCAGAAAATTGTGAACCTGTGTTAGGGGCTGCGGGAATTATAATCAGCTAGACAGAAGTACGGATAGCCTAGGTACCCCATTTGTGGTTGCTATTTGAAGGAGGGGACAGTGTTATGGCACTGAGCCCTTAACCTGTGGTGTCTGGGCTATCATAATAAATGTAAAATTGAGTGGAATTTTAGTTTTGAGTGGAATTGAGTTGAAGTCAAGTAATTGAAGAATTGGTTGTTGTTTAAAAATCCAATCACTCAACTCTCTACTTTGGGTAGGCCTTAGGCTTTCTCTCCCAAACCCTGTCCTGTATGAGCATCAGATTAGAAGTTCAGGATCAGCAAGTTTGGTGTCTTAGTACATTTCTGCTGCTATAACAAAATACCTTAGACTGGGTAGTTTATAAACAACAGAAATCTATTATTCACAGTTCTGGAGGCTGGGAAGTTCAAGGTTAAGGCACCAGCAGATTTTGTGCTTGTGGGGAATTGCTGTGCTTCATAGATAACACCTTATTACTGTGTCCTCACATGGTCGAAGGAACAAACAAACTCTTTCAGGCCTCTTTTGTAAGTACACTAATCCCATTTGTGAGGGCTCTGCTCTTATGACCTAATCACCTCCTAGAGGCCTCACCTTTGAATACTAAATAGCAGTTGGAAAGCTGGAGGCTTCATCTGTGGACTTCTTCCCCGGATTCCCATTTCACTTTTTGACCTCTGAAGATTTTCCTGATATTTTTGCTAGCTCATTGTTTATTTAAAAGATGTTTTTATTTGTTTTGGTTTTATTTTTTGCAGCATTTTTAGTAATTTTGAAGCAGGATGGTTATATCTGGTCTACCATATTCTTCTATAATTTCTTGATTATTTTTGTCTTGTGCTAAATTGTTTAGGACTATTTGTATTTATGATTTTAAGCCAATTTAAAATACTTTTGCAAGAAGACATGTATAAAAAAAAGAAGTTAGTGAAAATAGTTTACCAGGTGAATGTTGACATGTTCCCCAATGCCTTCATAGAATGAGGTAAAAACTTAGATGATCAGGAAATAGAAGGGACTGTTTAAGTTCAAGCCTACAAAGACGGGTAGGATTTCCTTCGGCCAACACAAACAAGTGAAAATGTATTGGATGAAGACCAGAAAATATTTTTAACTGAATGATGATGAAAATTCAACATACCTAATTATGTAAAATGCAGCTAAAGTAGTGCTAAGTCAGAAAATGTTGGAATCCACTGTCTGTATTGTGCTAAAGCTTCATTTATCTCACAGTCCCAATTTACTGATAAAGCCAGAGAAATTAACATGTCCAGGATTGCTCAACTAAGAACTAGAATTCAAAGCCAGGTCTGCCTGATTCCAAAGCATATAAAGATCATTATATGCTTTGCCATTGTTTCTACTTCTTGAAACTTCCACAGCATAGACATTTCTGTTTTGTTGATTATTAGGAGATTAGTGATATACATTTCTTGTTTTACTTCCTAGGAGGAAAAAAGTAAGCCAGATGTGAATTTGAAAGATCTTCAAAATGAAGAAGAGATTGATGATCCACTGATGATTCTAAGAGCAATCTTATTACAGGTAGAATGTGTATATCTATTATATATACAGGGGGTGCCAAAAAAAAGGGGGTGCCAAAACAAGTATACACATTTTAAGTGATATTATCTATGTGTTACTTTTCAAAATTGAATTAAACTATGGTAGCAATGTATAGTAGGATGTTCACTCAACCGTGCCTCTGGCATTTTCTATGACTGTCCTGCCTGTCACATGGTGATGCTAGCATTCATTTCATTAACGCCATCTTTTGAGCAAATGTCATACTTAAAATGTGTATACATTTTTTGGCACCCCTATATATATATATGAGATTTAGTTGGTAGACTGATACTGTTACCTCTTATAATCTTTTTCTTTTAGGACATTTCCATATCTCCATTTCAAAAATTTTTGTTGAGGATTTTCTGGTTGTAAAAGAAACACATATTAATGGTAGAAGATTCAAGGAAAAAAAGCAGAAAATATATACAGACAAAAAGTATAAATAGGCCAAAGCCAATAGTCATTATTAATTCCTTGATATATATCCTTTGCCTTCTGTTTTTTATTTTTTTTTGTATGTGTTGGTTTTGTTTGTTTGTTTTTGAGAAAGGGTCTCACTCTGTCACCCAGGCTGAAGTGCAGTGGCATGATCTCAGCTCACTGCAACCTCTACCTCCTGGGCTCAAGTGATCCTCCCACCTCAGCCTCCCAAGTAGCTGGGACTACAGGTTTGTACCACCACACCTGCCTAAATTTTTTTTTTTTTTTTTGTACAGATGAGGTCTCACAATGTTGCTCAGGCTGGTCTTAAATACCTCGGCTCAAGCAATTATCCTGCCTTAACCTCAGAAAGTGCCAGGATTACAGGCATTAGCCACCATACCTGGCCTATTTTCTTTGTGTTTATGTACATATATTAGGATTGAGTTATGAGCTCTGTGGCTATTATTATTGTCATTTTAAACACAATTGGGCTTTACATACTGTTTTGCAACTTACTGCTTTCCTATATTACCCTTTTAATGTTTATATGGCCCCTTTTTCATTCCTAGCACTGATAATACCTGAGGTGAACAGCTTTTAATGTTTGTTTAGTATCCTGTTTTAAAGATGTGAGATCTTATTTCATCTATTCATTCATTCCTTTTTTTTTTTTTTGAGACAGCATCTCAGTCTTTCTCCTTAGGCCGAAGTACAGGGGGCATGATCTTGGCGCACTACAGCCTTGAATTCCTAGGCCCAAGTGATCCTCCCACCTCAGCTTCCTAAGTAGCTAAAACAACAGGCATATACCACCATGTCCAGCTATTTTTTTCTTTTTTTATGTTTGTAGAGAAGGGGTCTCATTGTGTTATATAGGCAGCTTTTGAACTCCTGGCCTTAGTGATGCTCCCTCTAAGGCATCCCAGAGTGGGGGGATTACAGGCATAAGCTACCACACCCAACCCATTTATTCATTAATTCTTAATAAATGATTTTTAATACTTCCTAATAGGGACCTAGACTGAGCAGTTTAACTATATTGATCTATGGATACTTTACTAGCTTGCAAGGGCTGCCATAACAAAATACTACAGCTTGGGTGACTTAGACAATAGAAATTTACTTTCTGACAGTTTTAAAGGCTGGACATCCAAGATCAAGGTGTTGGCAGGTATGGTTTCTTCCAAGGCCTCTCTCCTTGCTTGCAGATGACTGTCTTCTCCCTGTTTTCTCACATGGTTTTTCCTTTGTGCATGTGCATCCCTGCCATCACTTTGTCCAAATGACCTCTTCTTGTGAGAACACCGATCAGATTGGCTTAGGGCCTACCCTAAAATGGAAAACAGCCTAATTTTAACTTAATCACCTCTTTAAAGGCCCTGTCTCCAAATATAATCACATTCTGAAGTATTATGGATTAAGGAGTCAACATGTGAATTTTGGGGAGATACCATTCAGCCCACAAAAGTTACTTGTAACAGTTACTTACTTCCTTTTAGAACTTATTTCTACTTCAGAATATTCATACAGGACATTAATAATCTTTTTTTGAACATAAATATTTCTTCTAAAAATTCCATTTACTGGCAGGAATTTACCAAATCTCAGGCTATTTTTTGGTTAGTATTCTTCAAATGGTTCACTTGTGGCACATGTAAAGTGGCAAAAAAATCCAAGTTTTCTAAATGGAGGCTTAATCTACATTTTTTAAAACAAATTTTATAATAAAATAATTATGATTAATTCACATATATGTTTGCTGTACTAAGCATGTTTGATCTTGTTTGTCTTCTTGAATTTGTGTGGCAATTATTCCTCATCAAATTTTCCTAAGTGACTTTGTGTTTCTTTCATAAGGAGGAGAATAATCTAATTCCTGTTGATCTGCTGGGTCAGAAACTCTTGAAAAAGATAGGACTATCTTGGAACAAAAAGTACAGAAAACAGCATGGACCACTGCGAAAGGTAATACATAGCATCATTACAGGAAATTCTAGTCCCAGGAAATGTTACTGTGATTCCAGAAACATGAATTCCTTTGCAGAAAGGTGTTTAACATAGGTGAAAATAACATTAGTATTTTTATTTAATGGTTATAATTCAGCCAAGTTACTTATACATATTACTTATTAAGTTATTTATCATAGAATCACGAAGTAAGCAAAATGGGAGAGCAGCTACTAATCACAGCAGCAAAAAAAGTCACAAAATTCATACCCTAAAGTTTATCATTTTACTTAAAGAAATGTCTTCAGGTATTCACCCAAATTTCACTTGATCTTTCTTTTACACTAAATTCTAGTTTATTTGGTGATCTAGTTTCCTAGTATACTTGGTGCCCTGGTTTTCTAGGCTGCAAGATTAGTTGCAAAACTGATACTGCCAGAAATAAGAGATAACAACTTGACTGAAAACAAACAAGCAGAACAGTAGAACATTTAAGAAACATTTTGGAGCTGTTTCATGTAGGATCTAAAACACATCAGTGTGTTTAAGTGTATATTTAATTAGATTAGACCACCAAAAAATAAGTTTTCTGTTACTTCTTACATTATGTTTGAAAATTGTGTTTTTTAGAGAATTTTTATATCTGAGTGTCAAATTTATTGGCATAAAGTTATTCAAAATATCTCATATTATCTATTTAGTGTCTGTCAGACCTGAAGCTATGTTCCCGTTTTCATTTCTGATGCTAATACTTTGTGTTTTCTCGCTTTTTTTCCATCAGTTCTTGCTAGGAGGTTATAAAATTTATTTTCAAAAGCTTTTTAAAAATACTTTTGTCTAAAGATGTAATTCTGTTCATTTATCTACAGCTTATCTGTTTTCTGTCATTGATTTCTCTTCTTACATTTATTTCCTTCCTTCTACTTGCTAGGATTTAATTTGGTCATCTTGGGTTGTTATCTCAGTTGTTTTTACACCTTTCTTTTAATATATGCTTTTAAAGCTATAAATTTCTTTCTAAACACTATTTGAGCTGTAACTGTATTCAACATACTTTTATTATTGTTTCATTCAAAGTATTTTGTAATTTCCCTTGTGATTCTTTCTTTGGCCCATGAGTTCTTTGGAAGTATGCTGCTTAATTTCCAATTATTGGGTGATTTCTAGTTGTATCTATCTTTTTTGTTGTGTCAATAAATTAACTTCTAATTAAACCATTGTACTTGGAGAACATACTCCACATGATTTCATTTCTTTTGAATTTATGGAGACTTGTTTCATGGCTTAGAATAATGTCTATTTTGCTGAATGTTCTGTGTTCAATGGAGAAGTTGTTTTCTGAGATTGGATGTTAGGTGTAACATTTCTTGATGTCAACTAGATCAGACTAGTTAAGAGTGTTCTTTATTCTCTATCGTTACTAAATTTTTTTTGGTCTTTTTTTTATCAATTACTGAGAGGAGTTTTTAAATCTCCCAACTATTTTTATTTCTTTTTTGAGTTGGAGTCTTACTCTGTTGCCCGGACTGAAGTGCAGTGGCATGCTCATGGCCACCGCAGCCTTGACCTGCTGGACTCAGGTGATCCTTCTACCTCAGCCTTCCAAGTAGCTGGAACCACAAGTATATGCCTCCTCGCCCGGCTGATATTTTGATTTATTGTAGAAATGAAGTCTCGCCAAGTTGTCCAGGCTGGTCTTGAATCCCTGGGCTCAGAAAATCCTCTCGCCTCCACCTCCCAAAATGCTGGTATTACAGGTGTGAGCCACCATGCCTGGGCAAAATCTCTCAACTATAATTGTGAATTTGTCCTTTCCCTTTTTTAGCTTTGACAATTTTGCTTCATGTATCTTGAAGCTATATTAATAGGTACATACATTTAGGATTGAAATGTCCTTCTTTATCTCTGCTAACATTCTTTGCCTTGAAATCTACCTTGTATAGTATTAATGTACCTATGCAAGCATTCTTTTTTAAAAAATTTTTTTTTACTTTAAAGATGTGGGTTACAATTCAGGATTAGGTATGCAAATGTTCATTATACAGATACTCTCGTTGAAGAGGTGTGCCTCCCCCCCACCTAGCAGTTTCCCACTACTACCAACCCTACCCCCCGACCCACCCCAGCAGTTTCCCACTACTGCCAATCCCTTTCAAATAGTATTATGATAATTGTTCAAAGTCCACATATGAGTGAGAATATGTGGTACTAATTTTTCTGTTAGATCACTGGATATGATAGACTCTAAATCCATCCAAGTTGCTGCTTATTTATGGCTGCATAATACCCATTGTGTATATGTACCACATTTTTTTTATCCAGTCCAGTTTTGATGGGTAGCACAGTTGGTTTCATGTTTTTGCTAATACGAGATTTCTTTTACAAGAATGCCACAGTATGTAGTTAGTTCTTGTTTATTTTAGAAAATTATGGTTTTTAACAAGTTTGTTTTTTTATCTGAGGTGTCAGATTTGCTGGCATAAAGTGGTATAAAATATCCTTTTAATGTCTGTAGAATCTGGATTTACGTATCATTTTTCCTCTCTAATATTGATAATTTGTATTTTTTAGCTTTCTTTTTCATTGGTCTTGCTAGGGGTTTATCAAATTTATTAAACTTTTCAAGAAAACAACTTTGCCTTTGTTAATTTTCTTTATTGTTCATCTGTTTTTTGATCAGGTGACAGAGAGTTTGACAATTTCTTTTTATTAGAATGTTTACTTTATTTGTATTAATGTAATAATTGATGTGTTTGGGTTTGAATCTTCTGTTTTGCTATTTGTTTTCTGTTTCTCTTCTATTCTTTGTTATTTTGTTCTTCCTTTTCTTCCTTCTTTTGTATTAATTAATTTTTGGTGTTTCATTTTTATCTCTTCTGTTGGATTTTTAGATTTATCTATTCATTTGCTTTCATCATTATACATAAGTTAATATTACAAATTGTAAATTAATATGACACCACTTTATTTACAACATAAAACGAGTTCTGTTTTTTCATTCCCATCCTTTCTACTATTATCTTCTTATGTTTTATAGTAACATATGGTATAAATTCACTATACATTATTGCAAATTTTCCTCCAAAATATTTACCATCTAGCTCTCTAATTTATCCTCTTCTAATTTGTAAGACCTTGAACTCCATGCTTTTTCTGCTTGGCAGGAGGCAGCTCTGTTCTGCTGTTGAACTTCCTAGCTGATGCTTTTACTGGGTTCCATGGGGTCTTGGGCTGTCCACCTACGATTTAGGAGTTAGCCAAGGATTTAGGGGAACCTAACACAGACTTGGGGCTCCTTTATGGGATTTTCTCTTTCTCATTCTTGCCTCTCTCTAGTAGTCTAAAAGTCTGTCTCCTCAGCCTTTTACTTGAAGTCTGTTCCACCATGTGCTGCTACAAACTAGGAAGAGTCTCAGTTTGCTTCTCTTCTTCAAAGTATTATGTCCTTTCCACTTTATGCCTGCCTACCTTTGGTTGCTTTCCCAACAGTTGTTTTCATTGTTTTGTCTAGTGTTTATCATTTTTATCAATAGGGTTAGTCCAATAAAAGCTCTCTACCATTATTGAAACTAGACTGCACTGAAGTTTGAAGCTTAAAAGAGTTAATTCTCGACTATTTAACAAAGAAAAACTTGGCTATACAGAAAGTTTATTACTTAAAAAATATGAAAAGAAAGCTTTCAAACTGTCAATGCTTTTTTATATCTAAAAAAAAAGTAGCTACGAAACTATTTTACCCTCTGTTCTCATACCCAGTGTTAGCAATATTGCCTTTAGGTTATATGCCCTATGCTCTTCTGTTTGTGATAAAATCATACTTTTGATTAGAGAGTTGACATTACCACAAGTTTCTTTCCAAGAGAAAAATGAGAAAATCACCTTTCCATGGTGATTGATGAGGTAAGCATGTATTACATTGCGCTCCCAAGTGATTTTCTATAGAGGATAATTTTTTTCCTGAGAGAAAAAGAAGAGCTGCAAGGCCATATAGAGATTAAGGAGTGAGAGAATAGAAGAGCAGGGGATGGAGAAAGAGATTTTTTTTCCCCCTCCTAATTTTTGAGCAAGAACTTGAGAAACAGTCTCTGGGATTGTGACTTAAGCCTTTTTATACTTTAATTTTCTGATCTTGCCTACCAGCTTCCAGATCAGACAATATGCAACTTAATTAATGTTAAAAGACAACTTATGCTTATAATTACTACTTTATACCAACAGAGTCTGCTCTGGGTCGCTAGTTTTCAAATTCTTTTGTAGCGATACACTGTGTGATTGCCTTTGTTTTGTGTTTTGCTTAGATTTTAAATATTTCAAAAGTGTTTGTTCTGCCTAATATACTTTAGTTAAATGCTTTTTAAAACAGTGTTAGTGAGGTATAATTAAAATGCTGTTAGATTGTTGCATGGCTGTTTCTTCCCTTGATACAGCTATCAGACTGTTTAGCAGAGCACTCTGGTTTTATTGAATGTTTTTTTATACCTAAGTGAATTTTTTCCCTCTAGTTGGCCAGGGGAAAAATAAAGCTTAATTAAAAGATCTAATCACAGAAAAGAAGAAAACATATTTTTATCATGTCTAATTTTCTTTAAATGTATTAACTTAGTGCTTGATTTTTTGTTTCTGTATAGTTCTTACAGCTCCATTCTCAGATATTTCTGCTCAGCTCAGATGAAAGTACAGTTAGTCTATTGAAGAACCATTCTCTCCAGGCTGAATTTGATTTTCAAAGGAATGATCAACAAATTTTCAAGATGCTTACTTCAGAATCCCCAGGATTAAACAATAGCACCTCCTGTCCTCACTGGTTTGATATAAATGATTCCAAAGTCCAACCAATCAGGGAAAAGGATATTGAACAGCAATTTCAGGGTAAAGAAAGTGCCTACATGTTGTTTTATCGGAAATCCAAGTTGCAGAGACCTCCTGAAGGTATGAAAAAAAAGATTTCTCTTTGTTTAAGTTAATGGCTTTAAAAGATAAATATCAAATGCTGTTTAAGTTATTACCCTTTAAAAAGAAGATTTACTAGCTGGCCCGGTGGCTCACGCCTGTAATCCCAGCACTTTGGGAGGCAGAGGCTAGAGAATTGCCTGAGCTCATGGGTTTGAGACAACCTGGGCAACATGACGAGACCTTGTATCTACATTAAATCAAAAAATTAGCCAGGTGTGGTGGCACATGCCTGTAGTTCCAGCTACTTGGAAGACTGAGGTGAAAGGATCACCTGAGCCCAGCAGGTCAAGGCTGTGGTGGCCATAAGTGTGCTACTGCATTCCAGCCTGGGCAACAGAGTGAGATTCCGACTCAAAAAAAAAAAAAAAAGAAGAAAGAAAGTTTACTCTTGGGCCGTTTTAAAATATTTTAAGCTAACAGTAAAAACTATATTATGCCAAATGAAATCTAATAACTTGTCATTTTATAAAGATTATATATTCTTTTAATTTCCTCCCCTATAATAATATGAGATCATAGTTAGATTTTCAAATTTGAATCATCTTGGATCGCCTAATCCCTTCTTATTGTGTTGGTGTAATTGAGTGCAATTGCCCTGTGCTGGGGCTTGGGTCTTTCATTCAGTCATATGTTGCCTTTGAGTTATAAATGGCTTGGTCTCATTTTCATATCTTCTCCTTTATTTTTTTGTGTATTTTCTCTTTTTCCTTATGGTAATATGTTCTCTGAACAATTGAATTATCTTTGTTGAACTTTCTAAGAGAGCTCATCCCAAGCAAGTTAAGCCATTGAGACCCACCATAATAAAGAGTATTTTTTAATTGAAGCTGTTAAATAAGTCAGTAAAGACTTTGAGCACTTCCCAAAGTTCACTCAAAAGTTAAAAACCCTAATTAGGAAAGCTTTATAGGTTGTGCCATATCTATGATTAGAGATGAGGAGAATGTTCTTAAAGAATGAGAACAGTGATTATTTTTATAAAGAATAAAAATAAAGTAGTTGCTAATTTGCATGTGAATCAAAGGAAGTTAACTTTCTAGATCTGAAACAGTTACGTAACTATGCTGTTAATAAAAAAGACTCTGTATTTCTCTGGGAGGAAAAAATAAGAGATGGTAATGGTTCTGATAAAAATATTATGTACCAGAATTCACAGTTATAGGAATATATATTAACAGCAAAAGAATGTCTTCAGGTGGAGTATTAGTCTTTTTCACCAAATTGAATTTTAATATGAGCATAATTGGAATATATACTCAATGACAATTTTCTGATTAGCTTAGGAATTGAATAAAGCCAAAATCTTCATGGACTTTTTTGGGCATGAAGGAATAGCACTTTACAAAATGATTCTTAAAATCACCTAGAAAGATAAAGTAATAAAAATTGAAGAAGGAACTACTGAGGGAAAATTTATTGTGTCAGTAAAAATGTATTTATAAGTTGTAGCAATGAAGATTCTGTAGTCATAATGCAAGAATGTAGACAGATCATGAAACAGAGTGGTAAGCACGGGAATTGATTTAAGCATATGTGAGGTTTTGATCCATGGTAAGATAGCTTTTCAGATAAATGGGGGAAAAGTGAATTACTCAACAAATACAACTGGGACATCAGTTAGGTGCTAGGGAAATATAACTAAAGCATTTTTCTCTATTATACCAGTCACTTAAATGAAATTATTGCTTATTTAATGTTTATGTTAAAAAAGGAACCCTAAAATGTGTAAAATATTTATATGATTTTAACATAAAGAAAACCTTAAGCTTAAAAGCAAAGAAAAAAATGAAGGAAAAGTGATATAAATCTTACACAGAATTAGAAGACAAATGACAAACTAGTGAAAAACAGTAAAATACATGACAAATTAATTTCCCCTATCTGGAGAGTACTCTTACATATATTCCTTTGTATTCAGTAGTAAATTGGAAAAAGGATATAAGTAAGTACTTTACAAAAGAAGTCCTGTTTCTTCAAAAAAATTTTCAACTTAATCCATCATCAAACAACATGAATAGTAATGAGATGAACATCAGTGAAATGCCACTGTTTTCCTCTCAAGTCAAATACTATTTCTGTGACTTAAGAGCTGACATTTAACAGCTGGTAAATATATACACTAATAAGGCCAATTTAGGTGTATGTATTTTAAAGCCTTAAAACTATCACACCGTTTAAATCAGTAATTCTACTTCCACACATTTGTCTTGAAATAATCAGAGCTATGTGAATAATTATGTTCAAAAATGTTTGTTGCCTCCACTATTTTATAATAGTGACTAATTGGAAATCACCTTAATGTCTAACAGAAAAAGATTAGTTAGATTAATTATGCTTCTTATAGAATGGACAGCTATGCAATAATTTATTTAAGGTTTTGGAAGAATACAATATATGAAATGAAGAAGTAAGTTAAAGATTTGTTGAGTACAGCCCCAGTTGTTTTAAGTGTGTGTGTGTGTGTGTGTGTGTGTGTGTGTGTGTGTGTCTGTCTGTCTGTCTTTGGTGTGAAATTTATGGCTCATATTTATTTCTTTTGCACTTTTAAAAATAATTTTCAGAATTTTTACAATAACCAGTTATTACATTTGAAATCAGAATGAAAATGTAGGGTTTTTTTGAGGGCTCAGTATCTCACAACTAACCACAGCCTCAACTTCCTGGGTTCAGTTGATCCTCCCACTATAGGCACACACTGCCATGCCCACATAATTTTTTTTTTTTTTTTTTTTGTAGACAAAGTCTCACTGTGTTGCCCAGGCTGGTCTCAAACTCTTGGGCTCAAGCAATACTCTTGCCTCAGCCTCCCAAAGAGTTGGGATTACAGTTATGAGCCACTATGCCCAGAAGGTGGTTCTCTTTAAAGTATACTTTAAAGAGTTGAAGGAATGCAATTCTTCTGGCTTAGCTAAAGAACTATTTACCTTTTATTTGTTCTAACTTTTTCATTTTTCTTTTTTTTTTTTTTGAGTTGGAGTCTCACTCTGTTGCCCAGACTGGAGTGCAGTGGCCGCTCCCGGCCACCACAGTCTTGACCTGCTGGGCTCCGGCGATCCTTTCGCCTCAGCCTTCCA